GGCATGCTGCAGTCCATGGGGGTCACAAGAGTTGATACAACTGGGGGACTGAACTGAACTGATCTGATTATCTGATTTGTATTCTCTCATGAATTCTCTTGAATTCTCTCCCCACCTCCAAACCCAAGTACCTACTTCCTTCTCTCCTATTTTCTTCCAGATTCAGAGGAACACCCCTTTCTCCTGTCTAAAATGAATTCCACCACCTCATCAACTCATGATAGCATCTGGTGAAAAAGATCTGAAAGATTTTCTTCAAATATGGATTACCTAAGTGAACCAACTATTTCTTGAAGTATAGGAGATTTTACATAAAAACCCAGACAGTTTTGAAACTTAAAATTTTAAAGCTTGAGTGCAGGGCAACCGTATTTATGTTATACCTGAATGAGGCATAACAGCAGAGAGCTGGTGGAAGCTGAGTGAGAATGTAGGTAAAGAGCAAGACGATGCTCACCCCACCTCTGCTTTCCAGAGTCCTTCCTAATGTTTAGTGCATAAAGACTTTCCAGTATGTTGAAAAAATTCCAGTTCCAATTTTATACTCTCTAAACAGACACTACATGGCCATTGATTTTCTCTACTTATTACTTATTGTAAGATATTGCTTTATTGTAAGATTACACTAGATAAGAAAAGAAGATGAAAAAATACTCCAGGCAAATAAATTTTATTTACTTTTGATTCCTGCCTCAACTTGCTCTTGTTTTTCAGGTGTTGGCTTTTACATGGCATATGTTAGAATTCCGACACCTCAGATGTACAAATGTATTCCAGCAGAGAGTTACTAAAATAGCTGTAACATTGTGGATCTTTATTGCTTCAGGATACTTTTAGTAACTTCTCTTACTGACCACACTCCATAGCAAACTTTCTGAGTACTAGTCCCCCTCTTGGAATACTGATTGTTAATTCAACGCTTCTCTTCTGTAAGAGCTGTTCTTGCTGCCGTTTAGTCGCTGAGTTCTGTCTGACCCCTTTCTGACCCTGTGGACGCAGCCCGCAGGCTCCTCCGTCCATGGGATTCTCCAGGCAAGAGCACTGGAGTGGTTGCCATTTCCTTCTCCAGGGGGTCTTCCTGATCCAGAGCTTGAGCCCACGTCTTCTGCATTGGCAGGCAGATTCTTTACTGCTGAAAGTAAGTTCTCAGTGATGATATTGCTTGGTCAAAGATCATTGTGCTAGAATATTTATCTGGTATTTGTCTTTCTATTAGGGAACCATCTGTGACCAAACTGATAGGGGAACAGGAGCAAGACCAACAGTGGCTTACATTACACTCCAACTGGGAGAGCCTTAATGCAACAACTTTGCATGAACTACTGGTAAAAGGGTAAGACAACCCATCACTAGAGCTGTGTAGAGTGGATTATGGAGCAAAGGTCTATCATAAGGGCCCTGCTTCTGTTTCAAATCTAAGATATTCTAAATGTGTCACATCAAAGAGGAACATCCATGGGCTACCTAAGGACATTTGTATTTCAACATCATTTGGCTTTCTTCCTTCTTTGTAGACATACATCTTTTTCTTTTGGCTAATTGCAATTTTTAATTACAATTACAGAAACTATCATAGGGTAGGAGTAGGAACTTGGGGTCTAATATTGGAGTGTTTTCACATCCTGCTTGAAATAAGTTCTTAATGTCTGCACTTCCTACATGCAACTAGTTAACAGAGCAAATTCAAGTAATGACAGCTGATAAAACTCGGAGAGTTGGAGAGAAAATCAGACATGCAAAGAAATTGTAATCAAGTAACCTCAAAAGTTCACTTCTGAAAACTTTCCCCTAAAAAAAATTGTGGAATGTTAAAAAGTGTTGCCTCCCTCATCTATGGGCAGGGGTGCAGGAGAAAGATCCATTGAGGGAATTAACACATTTAGTGATTATGACATTATAGGGGCATAGCTATAGAATATTTACATAAAACTTGCTCAGATTCACAGCCCACAAATGGTAAGTGCTATTCTCTGAACTCAAAGCAAGTTTTTATTACTCCAAAGCTTTTAATTAGTGCTAGAGAAACCACCTCTTCAGAATTTCAAAGAAGAAAATTAAAAGGTGGGTCATTTTTCTTTAGATGTCTTGACATTTTCCCTATAGACAGAACTGTGACCAAATTTCTGAAAAGCTGTCAACTGAAGCACTTCCTCCAAAACAATGACCTGAATCTTCCAACAGAGTGGTTTGTTTTCCCAAACTGGAACTTCCAGGAAAGCCCTTCCAGGTTGGTAGGTAGATAGATAGATGGAGACATAGATAAAGTCAGAAATTGGGAGTCAGTGGATCTAATTCTAGTCCCGCCTTACTACCTAGATGTGTGATCCCACACAACCTCAATTTCCTTTTAAAATGAGAGTTAAGACAGATAGTCTTTGATCTTTCCCTATTCCTAAAAGCTATAATTTTAAGATCTAATAGATAACAGCTAAGTATTGCTATCTTTTCTATGCCAGGCTTATTGCTGAGCTCTGAGGGGATGTAGAAGTGATGAGGGGAACAAGAACCCTGGTCTCAGGAAACATACACTTTAGAGGTGAAAAGAGAGAGTATATAAACAATAACAAACAGAATGAATTTCACGTATTTGGAAGTGCTACAAAGAAACTAAGGATAATGAGACAGGGAGTGAGGAGGAGATGGGACTTCAGGTTACGGGAAGGTAAAACGTGTATGTGCTTTTCCTGTATTATATAATTTATTGTGTACGCACATCCCCATGCAAATTTAGCAACAAAAGAAAATATAGCAGGTCTTCAAAAAAGAATGTGGAAATTAATACTTAGGGGTTTTTTTTCTGACAGATCAAGGATTCTAAGCAAATCCTGGTATATTTGATAGTCTCAAAGTGGTTTTTTTTTTCCTTTAAATTTGCATTGTAGAATAAATGCTTAGAAGAGAACCTTGTGATATAAACTTACCACACCCTAAACTGAATTCTCTTGTGTAGCCACATTGATAGATGCTTAAACATGGCCATGTGTTTTCCTTCAAAACTTAACTCTAATTTTTAAAAAGCTTTGCTTTCCTGAATGCACTGTTTCTATAAGTTCCAACTATTGATTCTGATCTTGCCACCTAGAGTAACATGGCATGAATTTAATCCCTCTTCTTCCTGTTAGCTAATCATAGATACATAGTTTAACACTGAAAGTTCTGAAAATCATTGAGTTTATATTCCGGGTGGTGCAAACAGCTACGGTGATGTGAGAAACCTGGCTGACTGTAGTTCCTCTTCCCACAAAGGTGAAATCATATCATCATGATGTTAAATACACTAAGAAAGCACAGCCTTCCACACCCCCCACCCAAAGTGAGAGCTGGCGACAGCCCTGTCGTGAGAATTCCTGTCTTAAGTACAACCTTTGTCTTGCTTTCCACTGGTAAAGTGTTTGAAGTGAACAATAAAATATAACTTAATATTATACCATTTTTTTGTTTCCAAATCTAGGCAGCCCTGTTACAGCAGAAGTAAGATTTCTCTTCTGTGTACTGAACAAGGTGAGCGAATTCGTGGTGTAACAGTGGTGTATGAACCTAACTGGATTCACGCAGGGGGAGAAATGATCTCTTGTGCATGACAGCAAAGATGCAGGCATCCCGTTGGGTTTGGCGGTGAGTCACATCTGTGTCCTCTCCTGCTCCTTGGTAGACTGTGGGCGCCGCCCTGCTGCCCGGATGAACAAGAGGATTCTGGGGGGTCGGACTAGTCGCCCGGGAAGGTGGCCCTGGCAGTGTTCCCTGCAGAGTGAACCCAGCGGGCACATTTGCGGTTGTGTCCTCATTGCCAAGAAGTGGGTTCTGACGGTCGCCCACTGCTTCGAGGGGTAAGCCGAACCTTTTCTTTTGTTTGCCTGGATCTGACCTTTCGTCATTTGGGCATTCTTAATGGCATATATCATTCTTTAATTCAATGCAGAAGTCACAGTTGATCTCCTTCCCTGGCCTTTACCTGCTTCGATTTTTTTGCCCTTGGTGTTCTCAGGCTCATTTATTGGCAATAGAGGTATATTAATTATGATTTATGTCCTGAAGAGGGAAGGGCAGGAGGAGGTAAAGAAGATTGACTCTTCAGCCAGAATTAGTCTCTTCTCTAGCCCTCTTAAAGACATCAAACGCACATGAAGTTAAACAGTGGGGATTTACTTGGATACAACAGTGACGTTAGGAGTCTAGAGGAATTGGTGAGGTGTTTAGGAAACAGAGTGAAAGAGAAAATGTGTGTCTTAGTCAGGATTACCCAGAGAGACAGACCAATGAGAGAAAAGTTTTCAGGGAATCAGCAAACATTACTGGAGGCTTGGTGAATCCAAAGTCTGAGGGGTGGCAGACATCCTGGAGGCTTGGGTACGAGCCGCAGCAAAGGCCCAAAGGCAGTGTGCTGGCTTTGGGAGGACTCAGTCTCTGTCATACGGCTTATCTGGTAAGGCCCACCCACATTATGGAGGCTGATCTGCCAAATGTTGGGGCACCATGGTCCAGCAGTTGTCACGTAAAGTTAATCATCAAGGATACCTAAGGGGAGCCGAAAAATAAGACCAAGGCGAAACCTATGGCAAACTGACAAACATCCCTGAAGAAGGGCCTTGTTGGTTTAGATTCGGTTCAGTTCAGTTCAGTCGCTCAGTCGTGTCCGACTCTCTGCGACCCCATGAATCGCAGCACGCCAGGCCTCCCTGTCCATCACCAACTCCCGGAATTTACTCAAACTTATGTCCACCGAGTCAGTGATACCATTCAGCCATCTCATCCTCTGTCATCCCCTTCTCCTCCTGCCCCCAACCCCTCCCAGCATCAGGGTCTTTTCCTGATCAATTCTTCAGTGCTCAGCTTTCTTTATGGTCCAACTCTCACATCCATACATGACTACTGGGAAAACAATAGCTTTGACTAGATGGACCTTTGTTGGCAAAGTAATGTCTCTGCTTTTTAATATGCTGTCTAGGTTGGTCATAGCTTTTCTTCCAAGTAGCAAGTGTCTTTTAATTTCATGGCTATAGAACTGTGGTGTTGGAGAAGACTCTTGAGAGTCCCTTGAACTGCAAGGAGATTCAACCAGTCCATCCTAAAAGAAATCTGTCCTGAATATTCATTGGAAG